ATTCGTTCGACTCATTCGAATATCCAATTTGATATGATTTTTATTGAATAATAAATAAACTCTGCATTAGAATTTTTTTGAATTTCCAGACTTTCGAAAAGTCTAGTCTCTACGTAGACTACAGAATTTTTACACATCGGTGACAAGATTTTCCCAGTCAACCGGAAATATTTCTTCGAAAATAATGAGGTCATTTATTCACTTTTTCCTGTCCTCATTTTTGTTATTTTGTTTATTTTCACGTTTTATCAACTGAAAATTTATCATGGCTGTAATTGTGAATTCTACAGTAACCCTGACTTTTTTATTTGGACAGTTCAATTGTTGGCTTATTTTTTATCTACTTTTAGCGATTTTTTACAAGAGAGAAATTCCGAAAAAATCAGAATTATCATTGATATACTGTAGATTTGGAATCGATATGGTTTATACATTTTTTGGGGAGTTGAGAGTTGAAAAATTCAAAAATTCGAGAAATCCAGAAATTCAGAAACTCAAAAACTCAGAAATCCTGAAAATCTGAAAATTTTGAATGTTTGAATTCCAGAACTTCTGAATTTCTGAATTTCCAAATTTCCAAATTTCTGAATTTCCGAATTTCCGAATTTCCGAATTTCCAAATTTCTGAATTTCCGAATTTCCGAATTTCCGAATTTCTGAATTTCCGAATTTCTGAATTTTTGAATTTCTGAATTTCTGAATTTCCGAATTTCTGAATTTTTGAATTTCTGAATTTCTGAATTTCCGAATTTCTGAATTTCTGAATTTCTGAATTTCTGAATTTCTGAATTTCTGAATTTCTGAATTTCTGAATTTTTGAATTTCTGAATTTCTGAATTTCCGAATTTCTGAATTTCCGAATTTCTGAATTTTTGAATTTCTGAATTTTTGAATTCTAGAACTGGTCATTTCGAGACCAGACGTTCTAGACTCAAATTTTCAGTATTTCCATTTTTCAGATGTCCACGTCTTCAGCGAAAACTCCAATTTGCACCAGATCATCTTCAATTACGAACAATTTTTTGGGTGAAAATGGGAAATTGGTGAATTTGGACGATTTGATGGGTACCGGAAGTGCTTCGAGTTGCTCTGGTTAGTTGAATGTTTTGAAATATTGAAATTCTGAAGTTCAAAAATATTGATTTTTCCAGGAAATCCGTGGTCCAGCTCTTCTCATCAAATTTCTGCTCCGCCGGCACCTGTCAATTCATTTGCTTCACAACGAAAAATGCCAACACTGAATGAGATGCGGGCTGCTCAAAACCCAGCTCACTTTACCACCAATCAATCGATCGATAATCGATCGATTTTCGAAAATCAACAAATCGATAAATCGGTTGATCCATTGGCCGGATTGTTCTTCTAACTTTTTCAGCGACTACTTACACCCCTTCTTTTTTGTAAACTGGATTTTTTGATAATCATTATTTTTTGTGCATTCTGTGAATTTATACTGAATTGGTGATTGATATTTATTGATTTTTTACCCCGTCCCCGCTCCCAAGTTTTTCTTGAAAGAAATGAATCATTGTTGAATTTTCAGAGAGTATTTTGTAAGTCTGAAATACGGATTTTTCGGAATTTTTCGAAATTCAAAAATTCGAAAGAAATCTGGGAAAACTGAAAGAACTGAGAGTTTTAAAGGCGTAGCTTTTTTTTGATCTACGAAAAAGTGCGGCAAAAATGTAATATTTCAGACCTTCGCCTCGTTCGAGCTACTTTCGCAATTAAGTTTGGTTTTTCGATGAAAATCAGATTCTAGAGATGCTAGCGAACATTTTCATACCAAGAATTCTAAGTTTTGTCTATTTGTTATCCGCTGCACGGAAAGTTCTCAAAAATTTAAATATTTGAGGGCGGAAATTTTAATTTTTTGATGCCTGCACTTGGGTTCAAGCGAGGGGGTCAGAAAGCGCGCCCCAGTAAATTTAGGAAAAGTTCTAAATTCGCTGCCGAATTTCGTTGGCTGAGTTTCACAGTTTTAAATTAAGAGCGAAAAAGCGCGCCTTGCAACCAGTTGTTTTTGAAGAAATAGATCATGATCTAGATCAAACCCGCGTCCAATTTAAAATTATTAAATTTCTTCTGGCCTACGAGTTTGCTGGGGCGCGCTTTCTGACCCCCTCGCTTGAACCCCAGTGTGCCTGTAAAAATTTGAGATTTTAGAAGTCACGTTATTTTACGAAATTTGAAGTTTGAAGTTTGGTCTGGAATTTCAGTTTTTACAATTAGACCTGAAAAAACGAAGCTTTTGAATAACTTTGAGATATTAGGCTGGTACAAAAGTAATGCGCGTTTTTGATTTACTTTATTACTCCCGTCCGAAATCAATGCACGTTGCGGCCGAAAATTTAGTCAAAATCGCATCGCCGGTCGCACAGCGAAAACAACAAGTTGATGCATGCGCCTTTAAATACCGTACCTCGAACCTTTTTTTTGGGCCTCATTTACCTGTTTTTTCTATTTTATAAGAAAAATAAATTAAAGATTTATAAGAATTACACAAAATAATAATATATTTATTTGCAATTCATGGGGGAAAGCGATAGATAATTTGGCAAGAAATGGGACCTGTACAAATAATAAAATAAAATGACCAAACGGACCGACTAGAGTCCTGTAGGTCAAGTGGGAGGGATCAGAATATCATAAGGAATCGCTCCTACTCGCTTAGCAAACGCCACCGGACTGAGCATAGAATTTATCACCTTACATACACGGTTCCACATAGATAAGTTTCTGTGAAGGAAGCAGTCAAAGTATTGACCGTTGATTTTGAACAAATACGGGGGGCTCTGTTAGAATGGCTGGGAAGAATGTAGGACGACATAGAGGGAAAATGGTATGAGTTTATAACAATTTTGTGATAGGTACGAAGAACTAGAAGGGTGCGGCGATGAAGGGTGGTTAGCATAGAGAACTGGGATAGGCGATCGGTGTATGAATTGAAGGGCATATTACATCTCTGGAAGACTTTTCTGGTGAAATAACGAAGAGGAGATTCTAGTTTATTGGCAAGTGTGGCATTGGATGGATCCAAAAGTTCACAACCGTATTCGAGGACCGGTCTAATGTAGGTGTCGAAGAGACGGAAATATAAACAAGGGTTTTTCGATTGGAACGTTTTCAGTATTTGGCGGGACTTGAGTTTAGCAGAGTAGGCAATAAGATTGATGTGTTTGTCGAATTGAAGTTGATCATCAACTAGTATACCTAGGTCCTTGAATGAGCGATGCGGAGTAATGGGGGATCCCTTAATAAAATAAACTGTCTTAGGATTGCGTTACCATAATGCTAAATTAGACAGAAATGAGCGAAAAAAAAAATAAGAGAAAAAGGCAAAAATTCAATAAAAGTTGAGGTACTGTATTAAAGGCGCGTGCAATAATTTGAAAAATACTGTGGTGTTCTCTCTATGGGAGCTAAGCTCCGCCCACCGTTGTTTTCTCGGCCGCAACGTGCATTAATTTCGGACAAGAGTAATATTTTTATTGTAAAAATGAAACAAGAGGACATCAATCGAGAAGATACTCTCCATCATTATCGACCACTCTCTGCCAACGCATGCGCAAAGATTCGATGCCTCTCTTGAAGAACTCCGCTGGCTGTGACTCGAAGTAGTTCGTCACCCAAATTTTGACATCTTCGTCGTTTTTGAACTTCTTCTCTGCCAGATGATGCTGCATGGACCGGAACAAATGATAGCCAGATGGTGCCAAATCTGGGCTGTAAGGCGGATGTGAGAGCACTTCCCAGCCCAGCTCCAAAGTTTTTTTCTGGGTGATTTTCGCGGTATGCGGTCGAGCGTTATCGTGAATCAAAAGACACATTGCATAACCTTTTTTCCGTGTATATCCGGTTTTGGTATCGGTTTTGGGGTCTCGCCCGGACTGAGCCACTGATGTTTTCTTTTAGAACAGTCATACTGAATCCATTTTTCGTCTGATGTCAAAATTGAATGAAAGAAACCGCGATTTTTTGAGCGGCGCAGAAGATCATTGGCCACTTCGACGCGCTTCTTCTTGTTTGCTTCAGAGAGTTTGTGCGGTACCCATTTTCCGCATCTATTCGATTTCCCAAGCGCATGTAGGTGGCGTAAAATTGTGATATGACTGCAATTAAACTGTTCTGACAAAATGCGTGTTGTTAGGCACTGGTCCAGTTCGACTGCTTGTCTCAAAGCATCGTTGTCAATGATTTCTGGACAACCACTGCGTTCATCGTCTTCCAAGCTCTCTTCGCCACTTCTGAAGCGCTGAAACCAGCGTCGACATTGATTTTCGGATAGAGCATTTTCTCCGAACACTGGCGGAAGTGAGCGATGAGCTTCGGCTGCAGTTTTACCTTCTTTGAACTCATGCCACAAAAAGGCTCGTAAGCGAAATTTTTGATCGGCCATTTCCTTAAAGGTGGGGGGACATGAAAAAAATAATGTTCTCGAAATTCCGTTCAAAGATGCCCCTCGAGGAGTTGAACTTGTGAAGGCGAGGATTGAGGGTGCGGCGCCGCTACCGACTGAGCCACGCGGGCAAAGAGAAAGTGGACGCCCGATTGCATACATAAAGGCGAGGACGACAGCTGTACGCAGAGTGACATTAAGCGTTGTACACCGTCACGGTAGAATGCATACTCTAGCTACAAAAAAACTACGAAAAATCTCCTGTCCCCCCACCTTTAAATGTTTTTGTCATTGAAATTTTTTCTCACTGTTTTCAGTCAAAATGAGAGAGCATTTATGAAAAAGAGGTTTAGAGATAAATTCCTCTCCTTTTTTGATGATAACAAACGCAATGACGAAAAGTGATTTTTTTTCTCTAAACCTCTTTTGTCAAAAGAGCACTCTCACTTTGAGCTGATAAGGAGCGACAGCAAATAAAAACGAAATACACCCTTTTCATAAATTGCAAATCAATATTATAATTTTCTTGTGACTTTTTTAATATTTTAAAATCAGAAATCATACATTTCATTTTTCTCTGAGAAGTTTTACATATTTTCAGATGCCGTCTGTATATGAATATTTGACGGATCAACAGAAGAATAACATTATGAGTATATGTGTTAAAATCGATTCCGACCATATTATGTTGATTTTGGGATTGCAGTCACCTTATGGAGAAACCAATTACTATTTCAGTTATGAAACATTCGGAAGTAATACTACAATTGTGATGTTCGATAAAGAACATTTGGATCCAATACAACACAATTTTGTAGACGTGGTCTTAGAAGATTTAGAGATGATGATGGTGCATCGGAAAACCGTTTTGTCATACATTAATATAAATTGTATCCTAGCAACCGTCGACGATCGTGCAAGAATTTGTGAACGTCTCCAGATGAGTTTGAAATTGAGAAGTGCGGCGTTCCCTGTCAAAGTAGCTGCATTTAGTGGAACTACCATAGCCCAGGCGGCATCATTCACACGGTTACTGGATCGAGCGAAATTGTTGAACGTACTCTTAACGCAGATAGTGGATCCAGAAAACTTTGAAAGGTTTCTGAACGAATTCAAAAGTGTGAAAGCCTTCAATTTCGATAAACACATCAGCATCGTGAGTTTTTAAATACCTGTTTTCTGAAAAGTTGAAATTGCCTTATATCAGTCCTTTTCTAATCAAATGCTCCAAACAACTGATCTCGACAAACCGGATAACCAAAGTATGCATGAAATGGTGGCGCGAAAAGTTTTGGAAAACCGATTACCGATGCAATTCATTTTAAGGCAATTACAATGTTTTGACATGTGAGTTTTTAGTTTTTTAGATTTTCAAAAAAAAATCTTTTTTATTTAAAGCGAGAGACTTCGAAAAGTGAATCGAGGGATCCGAAATTGTATAGATCTCATAAGACCGAATCCCCACATTGAAAAGTGTGCTTTCACATTTTCTAATGGAATGTGGTTGCGTCTTAACACACATACCGAATTGAAGAATAATGAATCTAAACATGTCGAATATCGTTCGGACGGAGTGGATATATACATTCAAGGAGTTGTTTTTCCTAAGACAAACTACATGGATCTTTGTCTTCATGACATTGAAACAATTCTCAGAAATCAATCGGAACGTATAGAGGAACTACTGATTCTTTATAAGGGTAAGTACAAGTAGTACAACACTTCATTTTAGGAATTTTTAATATATAAAATTGCGACCATTCGAAAATCGTATTTTTCAACTGAAAATTTTTTAACAAGAGTTAAATGTTCCGACACATAGGTAAGCCTGTGTCGGAGCTAAAGTACAAGGATAGGAACATTAGTTATATAACAGCTATTTATTAAGTAGTTATGGCTCTGAGTAGGGGTCTTCGTGACATCTGCAGTTGGAGCCGACCAAGGTTACGATCCAGAGAGGGGTTTGCACCATCCATTGAGCACGATTAGGAGGTTGCAGCTGTGAGGTGTGTCATCGGTATTTGGTTTGGCCCTTGGGCGTCAGTAGTCGGATCCAACGTCAGAATATCCAATGGTCGGGAGATCCTTTGGAAGTAGCCATTGTCTCAGATGTCTCATCATACTGGCGATTCTGCTTCCTTTTATAGCATCTCCTCAGCATATCCACAATTATGCTCTAGATCTGATATGGTGATAAGGAAGTGATCACGCCAAATATGTAGCGTTAACTAGTTGGAGAATTGTGTTTATGACTATTTGTGTCATTCTAGATATGCTCTAGTATTGTTGGATTCGAGGTCGTGCAGTAGAACCTCTGCTGCCGCGACATTAAAGCTTTGAAGATACTTCATCCAAATAATAACGTTTTTCATTTCAGTGGACATAAAAAATGATACAGTGATCATCATGGATGACTTGTCCGAAAGAATTGGAAAACTTTTGGAAGGAAGAGAGTCAACACTTAAAACAAAAAAATTCTCTATGGGATCTGATAGTCAAAAGAAAATTATGAATATTCTTCCGGCAATTGATGAAAATTCCCTAACGACTATTGAGTTATTGAATCTTTTAAACACGAATTTCAAGACTGTCACAGAAGAGTTCCGATTCGAAGTAGATCAAATATCACAAACCAAACAATGGAAGAGTGCTGAACAATTGATTTCCAAGCATTTGACTATAATAACACCAATTCAAGAGATGAATGTTTTGCACTTTGCTGATTTGGAAATTCTAGTGGAGGCGTTATCCTCTGAAGATGTGGCTTATCTAAAGACAGTGAGTGGTTTTTTTGTGGATATAAATTGTAAGCGCTTTTTTTCCAGAATCTTCTCAAATCTTCATCATTTCAAAAATTCAAAATATCATTTCTTGAATCAACAGTTGATGAATCATTACATACGCTGATTGGACAACCCTATCGTATAGTTTCCGATTCAAACAAAGTGTGGTACTTTCGGATTCCGAATACGGATTGCTATATTCACGTAGTTTTGAATACACATGACGTAGACAACAAGAATCCTAAAGTCATAAGATTTAAGCGAGTTGCAAAAGAAGACACTCCATTTAATTAATTGATTTGAACAAATAAATGATGAATTAATTTATAAATATAATATAATCGATTTACCAGTTTTTAAATTGTTGCTGAATTCAAAATGTTCCTCAATTTTTCAAATGTTTTTTTGAATTGGAAAATTGTTTTTAAAAAATTTAAAGGTGGTGTACGGTGAAATTATTTATTGCAAAAATTACAGAACTTTCTCGAAAATTCCAGAACGTTCTAGAAAATTCCAGAAAATTCTCGAAAATTCCAGAACATTCTAGAAAATTCCAGAACATTCTAGAAAATTATAGAACTTTCTCAAAAATTCCAGAACTTTCTCGAAAATTCCAGAACTTTCTCGAAAGTTACAGAACTTTCTCGAAAATTCCAGAACGTTCTAGAAAATTCCAGAAAATTCTCGAAAATTCCAGAACATTCTAGAAAATTCCAGAACATTCTAGAAAATTATAGAACTTTCTCAAAAATTCCAGAACTTTCTCGAAAATTCCAGAACTTTCTCGAAAGTTACAGAACTTTCTCGAAAATTCCAGAACTTTCTCGAAAATTACAGAACATTATAGAAAATTCCAGAAAATTCTCGAAAATTCCAAAACATTCTAGAAAATTCCAGAAAATTCTAGAAAATTCCAAAACATTCTAGAAAATTCCAGAACTTTCTCAAAAATTCCAGAACTTTCTCGAAAATTCCAGAACTTTCTCGAAAGTTACAGAACATTATAGAAAATTCCAAAACATTCTAGAAAATTCCAGAACATTCTAGAAAATTCCAAAAAATTCTAGAAAATTCCAGAACATTCTAGAAAATTCCAGAACATTCTAGAAAATTCCAGAAAATTCTCGAAAATTCCAGAACATTCTAGAAAATTCCAGAACATTCTAGAAAATTCCAGAAAATTCTCGAAAATTCCAAAACATTCTAGAAAATTCCAGAAAATTCTCGAAAATTCCAAAACATTCTAGAAAATTCCAGAAAATTCTAGAAAATTCCAGAACATTCTAGAAAATTCCAGAACTTTCTCAAAAATTCCAGAACTTTCTCGAAAATTCCAGAACTTTCTCGAAAGTTACAGAACATTATAGAAAATTCCAAAACATTCTAGAAAATTCCAGAACATTCTAGAAAATTCCAAAAAATTCTAGAAAATTCCAGAACATTCTAGAAAATTCCAGAACATTCTAGAAAATTCCAGAAAATTCTCGAAAATTCCAGAACATTCTAGAAAATTCCAGAACATTCTAGAAAATTCCAGAAAATTCTCGAAAATTCCAAAACATTCTAGAAAATTCCAGAAAATTCTCGAAAATTCCAAAACATTCTAGAAAATTCCAGAAAATTCTAGAAAATTCCAGAACATTCTAGAAAATTCCAGAACATTCTAGAAAATTCCAAAAAATTCTAGAAAATTCCAGAACATTCTAGAAAATTCCAGAACATTCTAGAAAATTCCAGAACATTCTAGAAAATTCCAAAACATTCTAGAAAATTCCAAAACATTCTAGAAAATTCCAGAACATTCTAGAAAATTCCAGAAAATTCTCGAAAATTCCAGAACATTCTAGAAAATTCCAGAACATTCTAGAAAATTCCAGAAAATTCTCGAAAATTCCAAAACATTCTAGAAAATTCCAGAAAATTCTCGAAAATTCCAAAACATTCTAGAAAATTCCAGAAAATTCTAGAAAATTCCAGAACATTCTAGAAAATTCCAGAACATTCTAGAAAATTCCAAAACATTCTAGACAATTCCAGAACATTCTAGAAAATTCCAGAACATTCTAGAAAATTCCAGAAAATTCTCGAAAATTCCAGAACATTCTAGAAAATTCCAGAAAATTCTCGAAAATTCCAGAACATTCTAGAAAATTCCAGAAAATTCTAGAAAATTCCAAAACATTCTAGAAAATTCCAGAACATTCTAGAAAATTCCAGAACATTCTAGAAAATTCCAAAACATTCTAGAAAATTCCAAAACATTCTAGAAAATTCCAGAACATTCTAGAAAATTCCAGAAAATTCTCGAAAATTCCAGAACATTCTAGAAAATTCCAAAACATTCTAGAAAATTCCAAAACATTGTAGAAAATTCCAGACCATTCTAGAAAATTCCAGAAAATTCTCGAAAATTCCAAAACATTCTAGAAAATTCCAGAAAATTCTAGAAAATTCCAGAACATTCTAGAAAATTCCAGAACATTCTAGAAAATTCCAAAAAATTCTAGAAAATTCCAGAACATTCTAGAAAATTCCAGAACATTCTAGAAAATTCCAGAACATTCTAGAAAATCCCAGAAAATTCTCGAAAATTCCAAAACATTCTAGAAAATTCCAGAAAATTCTAGAAAATTCCAGAACATTCTAGAAAATTCCAGAACATTCTAGAAAATTCCAAAAAATTCTAGAAAATTCCAGAACATTCTAGAAAATTCCAGAACATTCTAGAAAATTCCAGAACATTCTAGAAAATTCCAAAACATTCTAGAAAATTCCAAAACATTCTAGAAAATTCCAGAACATTCTAGAAAATTCCAGAAAATTCTCGAAAATTCCAGAACATTCTAGAAAATTCCAGAACATTCTAGAAAATTCCAGAAAATTCTCGAAAATTCCAAAACATTCTAGAAAATTCCAGAAAATTCTCGAAAATTCCAAAACATTCTAGAAAATTCCAGAAAATTCTAGAAAATTCCAGAACATTCTAGAAAATTCCAGAACATTCTAGAAAATTCCAAAAAATTCTAGAAAATTCCAGAACATTCTAGAAAATTCCAGAACATTCTAGAAAATTCCAAAACATTCTAGAAAATTCCAAAACATTCTAGAAAATTCCAAAACATTCTAGAAAATTCCAAAACATTCTAGAAGAATTCCA